TGTTTGATTATTTGAACAGAACTGTAGGAGACGATCACCGCTGTTAGTTCATCGTCATCGAACTCCATAGGTGTCTCCGACATGCTTCTCAGATTGGCACAAGTCCCCTACTGTTGTAGTGATGATACTCATCGTTTACTTCGTCTAAACTGATGTGTGGTGGGGGGCGTCAGTGGAGATTTAAGAAGATATTGGCGAGTGTCGCAGTCTTTCCTTCTAAGGAGACTCCTTATGAGCCTGACAGCAAACATGTGACCACCAGTCGGGATCGAGTCAAGTAGGGATTTTTCCACCATAGCACTCAACGATACTACACCTGCAAATCCTCGTTAACTAGCCACAGAAACTGTTGGCACTCGTAAGCTGTGTTTCACAGATTCACTCTGTTGGTCAGGTGGGATTAAGTGAATAACCACACACGAGTCTTGTGTGTGTGTGTCTCTAGAACACAACATATATCCATGGCTTGAAATGCCGAAGTTCTGCCTAGTGATACCTGTTGTCCGATGTGACCAAGGGTTCTGGCCAACTTCAAAGTTGGTAGTGTGGTTATAAGAGACCATCTGTAGTGGTATTCTTGCCGTAGCCGCTACTAGTGGTCGGTCGCATAGATAAGAGAAGATGACGGATTCGCCTGTGGAATAGCACTAACAGTTGGAACAAAGCAATATGATGAGACTGATTGAGGTGATGGAAGATGATGGTGAGAAAAGCTTTTTGGTGTTATGGAAGAAGTTTGTGGACGGTTAATACTCCCTGGCTACCCATACCGTGAAGTTTGATTTCTTCTTGGGGCGCCCGGAATAGGAGTATTAGTTTTGCGTGACTGCATAGTCTAAAGGGAAACTGGTTGAGGTCTGTCACACAAAGTCTCTTTGGAATGGCTTTTGCAGCCATATTGAGATCTCACTGCCAGCTTCAGACCGGTGTAGTGTAAGTTGGGGTGTGTGACATTCAGGGTTAAATCCCTTTCGAACTATGTCTCTCACTCTCTCTCCAGAGTAGAAAGTCAGTATAGCTGTCCTGCTAGTCATCAGATGCAAACACCCATCTGTTCTTGTTGCATCCCCAGTCGCCCACAGACCTCCAACATAGTTCAAAAATTTCCTCGACTTTCAACGTTAATGCTATTTCGGAGTGTGTGTGTGTGTGTGATAAAAGAAAGAGATTGTTGAGATGAAAAGTATCAACACTATGGTGGCACCTCCTTTTAGTGTAATCGCTATCGCAATAACCTTTCAGGTACACAGTAATTGAGATGAAATTAACTTAGTCATTATAAATTACTGAAAACAATTCCAGAGTGTTGCTTAGGAAGAAGTGAAAACAAGATTTTTCTGGACGATTCACTGAATAAACCAAACCACAGCTTCTTCCACAGGATTCCTCGGATTTCACTAACGATCCCATGGTTATTATTTGTTTCTAGTGAAAGTCTGTCAGTTAATAAGTGTTTCTCTCCACGCCCCTTTACTTCAAAAAGGATTCCACACAAATGTTCCAGAAGGAGTGGCAGCAGACTTCTATTTACCCTCGCCAGCGACAGATCATTTTTATTCGGTCCATCTGTGTCCTTCGTCGACTTGGTGATGGACATCTCTCTATGTCTGCTACTGTACATGAAGTTGGTGCTGAACAGGGAGAACGGATTATCTCTGAAGAACTGTATAGAATGCGACCACCGTTGTCGGGTACCGGGAATGGTACTTCATGGGCCCCACGAATATACTTCTCAAACTGGCACAACTTACATGATATGAGGAAAATTTAACTGTCTCTGTCTTCCTTCTATTGCTCCTACGATTTTCCGCCCATCAATTTTGTAAAGCATCTTGGCGAAACCGTTTTCCTACACTAATATGACTGAAATAACCTTTTTTAACATCATTTTGGACAGTGCCTTTTATAACAAATAGCGTTTCGCCCATACATGAATACATTATACCTTATTAGTTAATTTACTTTTATTTAGAGCAGTTGATATTTTGCGTCATTACATATCCACACATGATTTTCTAATTCCATTCCCTTTATCTTATTCAAAGGATTTATTCATGTACTAGTAATGTTAGATTCACACTTGAAGGTGATCGCTCTCGTCAGATAGATGATGTTGCTATGGCAAGTCCGTTACAGCCCTTCTTAGTAGATATATTTATATGTTGTACACTAAGAGTTTATCACAAGATTTAATCAAAAATGTACCGCTTCATGGAAGATAAGCCAACGACATTGTATTCATAAGGGACAAGTCTTGTTCTGCCACCTGAATTTTCAATCGAATAAATGAGGTTCAGAATGGCATAGAACCTAGCATATTTGTAGAAGAGAAAGATAATTGTTTATCCATCCTAGATATATTTGACTAGTCAATGGACAGTCCAATGGATCAATAAAACGATCCATTCATGCAAAACCTACCTGGACATGACAATATCTTAGTTGTCACAGTTTCTGCCGTGTTCACTACAAAAATGGCTTAGTGAGTGAGGTGCCTCCTCACTACTCCTACTTCTATTCAGTACTATCCAACGTAAATGCACTGAAAGCACACTTGATAATGAAGAGAGTGAGAGAAGATTGACACGAACTCTAGATGATAATAATTATCCAGACAAGTTGATAAGAAGATATTATACAGTGGTCAGCGGAACACCAAACGCGCTCTGCAACTCGCCACTAGGAAAGACGCATATATCAAGTTACTCTGTAACAAAAGATTGATCATAGCAGCTTGGTAACTCAACAAAGGTTGAAGACTGTGGTTGAAAAGACTTTTTCTGCAGCTAAATTCGGAATAATTGAGAATGTGAAGCTCATGTATCCATGTAAATTCTTAGTACATATGAGAAATGGTGTAATAGCCCATTGTATCTACCAGTTTATATGTACGTGTGGCCACACACATAGGGATGACTCATCGACCTCTGCAAGTAAGTGCTTAAGAGCATATTCCAAATGGCTTCAGAAACAAATTGAATCACCAGAACCCAATAGTGTTGAGCACAGATGACGATATAGCTCCTCTATTGCGAGAAATGACGATGTTATTGATGTTGCGACAGGTCTTTCAAAACCATCTATAAAACGTGTTTAGGACGCATTCGAAAGTTTGTGGAAGCCCTAGCTAGCAGTTTTGAAGTTTAAACCACCTTCATGCATCCAAAGCAACAATTCGTCATCACACTAAACCTTCCTTCCTCGGTAAACTTTGTTCTGATACCAGGGTAGATGTACTATTAACTCACATTTTCGGTTTGATGATCTGCATTGTTATTTGAATTTCAATATGTGATTTTAACTTGACCTAAGTCTCTTTTCTCACCCATCAACGTTTATTGTTTTCATGTGTATATATTCCTATGACAATTCCGTGTGTGATCAGATTGTTCGAAATAAGTGTTGCACACAAAATACACACTACACCATTCACAGATAAACTGCATCTTATTGCTTCTTCTAATTTCACAAGGAGAATACTGGCAATACCTATACTGCCCTGGGAAATATGTGTGACCCACAGTGTGGCATATGAAACACACATTTTGGACAATGCAAGTCTTAACTGAACAAAGCAATGAGGAATTGAAAAACGAAGATTCTTTCTGGCATTCCTAATTCAAAAAAAATGTATTTCATTTGAGTGTAATGTACTGTACTTATCTATACAAAATTTCAGCTGCATTTTGAAACCAAGACCCACGTACATCTCAAACTTTGCATAACTTTGTGACTCTGTTGTACACTAGACTGTTTTGAAGACAGTCTTTTAGTGTTGTAAGGTGAAGGCAACAGGAGATCGGTACACCAGACTCTGTTTGAGGGAAGATAGTCTATTAAATCAGTAAATTATAATGTGCTACTAATATTTAAAGTAGTACTGATACCTTGGGTGCAGAGTTGTAGGCATACAGAGGAAATGAATCAGTCTTGCCACGACCCATTAGGTTGGATAACGCATGTCATACAGGTTTATCGTCGGCTACTACATACAGTGGGAGTTCGCAGGAGATTGGACTTTCTCATTATAAAATATTATTAATAAAAAAGGTTACTCCCTGCCTTCACTTATCTAGTTAACAAGCAGCGTCGTTTCAACCACAGCAGGTCGGAATGCATGGAGATGTCAAAGCCAGCCAGATAGGATCGGAAAGGAAACGCAGCACACCTTCATCAATCTCAAATCGGTTTGAAAATATTCTGCACTGAGCAGCATAAATAAAAAGATTTGGATTCTCAACACAAATGTTAGGTCAGTCACTTCTTCCACCATATGGGTGAGGAACTTGGTGTGCTCGTCACGGAAAGCATCTCCAACAGACTACTAAAAGCTTTGATCAGCAGCTGCTGCCTTCGCTGTCTCCATACTAAACATCGAATGACTGTGGGAGTGAACCACCCAACAGCCTATTATTCACCAAATATGTAGAAGAAAATAGAGATGGATTGGGCACACGCCACTGAGGAGACCGTCGGGGACCAGCCAGTCCAACGTATTGAGTGGAACCTGAATGGGAAATGACGACTGATGCATGTTTCCGAGGGTGACATGAACGAAATGAGAGACTATAGGCAGTCGTGAAGCTAGCTGAAGAGGTTAGTGGAAAATATAACCAAGTGTAGACGTGCTGTTGAAGACGTATGTTCCACTCAGAACCCCAGGGGGCAAAAGATAACAAACAAAAGAGATGATCATATGAAATTTTTTTTATCACAATATTTTACTTCAAATTAAAAATTAGTAAAAAGAAAAAAAAGTGTGATTGTCCTACACAGATATGTATGTGTATGCGTTTAGTGCAATTTCAATTATGCGCGTGTGTGTGTAAGTGTGACAGCAGAAGGCATTATGCTACACAACAAGAATTTAAAAAAAGGATCAATCAGAAAATATATCGAACATCAAAATGTGATATAAAAGAAGAGGGGAGTACAAAAGTAAAGACAATAGTGAAAATCAATAATAAAATGCAAATGTATACATGTAAACGTATAAAAAGAAGCAAAAAGCAGGTACACAGCCATTGTTTACGAAAATGAACAGCCAATCACACCCCTATTGAGTACTGTTACATATATGTATATGAATACAGCTCAACTGTTGGTGTTCTGTTTTTACATATTAATTGGATAAACTTGTTAGTAAAACAAAAAATTGTTGTATATTATATTCATATAAGCTGCTTATAGTAATGTGAATAAAAGTAAGAGTTTTTATATTATATTGTACTATATTAAATTGTTATTCAATTACTGAATATATATTCTAAGCGCTATGTAGGACTGGAATGCATAGATTGTGGGGAATGTGCAGATTGAATAACGACAGTAGGAGTTGACAAAGCGTTGTTATGTTCTACTGCTTTATATTCATTTGACTTGACAACTGAAGTGGTGATACACGGCCTTGCACTTACCACTCGGAAAATTGAAGAAGGCACTGGAAGAGGAAGAGAAATAATTTTCACATATTTTTATTAATACATCACCTTTGTTGTATGATATACAATAAAAATGTTGTCAGCGATTCGTTACATAATTCACTACTCGAATTATATATTAGATGCAATGAATAGTTGTATCACTCAAATGGTTAGTAGTTCGCTTCGTACTCGTTTATTACGGGCTGGCTGTGAGTGATTGAGACATGACAGCCATTGATGAAAGTGGAAGACATGAAAAAGCCAGATAGCTGTCGTTCATAACAGGTGCCTGCGTTCTATCTACATCCCATATTAGGTCAGATGAGGTGGAAGGTGTAATAGGGTGAGTAATATTGAGTGGGTGATGCATCGGTCGAGTGCTACTAGAGAAGGAGAAGGAGGAGCAGAAGGGGGAAGATTCATCAATCAATGAGGAGGTTGTGAAGCAGTTACATCGACTGAGTGACATGGTTAGGACATGTCTTACACGTGCATGCATGTATGCACACCTACCCATTCATCCATCCATCGCCTTCCTCCATCGACGGACAATCTCACCTCAGCTGATATAGGATGGATGGATGTATGGAGTGATCAGATTGGAAAATCCTAGCCAGCACCTCGTAATTAAACCTCGTGTCAAACCAAAACATGACTGGCTTCATCAGTCAATCAAATCCATGACAACAGTTAGTTTAAGCCAGCCAGCCAACCATCCACACAGCCGGCTAGCCACGCAGGGAGGTGTAGACTGCCGCCTTGTTGGGGTCCTCGGGATGATGATAAGAAGCAATGGTGGCTGGAGATATGACCGGTGATATGTCTGGCTCAAACTCGTCACTCTCAATGATGGCGCACAAGCATTCACTCTCTGTCACTGATTTGTCGTATCCAACAAAACTTTATTCTTCTTCCACCATGTTACTATTCTTCTTCCCTCACTCAAACTTCTGTTTATTAGCTCTGTCTCTCTCTGCCCCTCTCTCTTTCGAATCTCTCTTTACTCTCTTCTCTTGCTCTTTGTGTTACATGGCACATAAGAGTGGAAGTGGGGGCGGGGGGGTTGGTGTCAACTCGAACTTATCCACATCTTTGCAAAGTTCTATGTTGAAACCAGTCAGTCAGTCAGTCAATCAATATCATCCAATAGAGACAACTCACCACAATCACATGTGTCGGTGATTCAGTGGTAGAATGCTCGCCTCAGCCACACCACAAGCGGTCAAGAATCCGACTCTCAATTGACGCACTCTCTTATACGTCACATAGTCGTTAGTTAAGCCCGGTAAACAGCGAAGGTTGGGTATGAGGTTGGCGAACTCAATCTCTTCGGAAATAAGTACACCACTTTTAGGGAAACTTCCAAGCTGAGTCTTGAATACAACAATATTAATTGAAAATCTGTATACGCAAAGCATTTGAAACGAAACTTTTATCGACTGAAAGTTACGTTTCGTACAATACGCTGAAAACTGGTAAAATAAAAGTGTAGAAATAACATAATCTCACATTATACAAGCTTATTTATTTGACATGAAACCGTGTGATACAGTAATATTAACGGGATGACGTTTTGAGCACAACTTATTGCTCATAATCATGTCACTTATAGGTGTCTGTGTGCTCTGTATCCCCTGTTAAGTGGTATACTATGCTGAGCAACGTTGACGTTAGGTGTAAGCTAGACGGTAAGTCGACCAATGAGGTTGTGAAGTTACATCGATTGAGATAACTAGGACACCTGTTCTGCGCACAGACCATCGCCTTCCTCGATGGGTGATGCAGCCGACAGAGGATTTTAAGATGGAAACGGGTCAAATATAGTCACACCAAAATGTGGTATCAGTCTATAAAATATTTGACAGTTAATTTGCGTCACACATGGAGAGTTGCAGGCTACACAACTGAGGCTTTCGCGATGCTAAAAACGAATGTTGACAACAATCTTAGTGCTAGAAAAATCATCTGAGGATTCATAAAATTCTTGTGCAGTACTTCAGACGCATACACTAACTCTCCGCAAATCTGCACAACTGGAAGTGGTCAGTTGATATATATATTCTTTTCTGACATATATATATATGTCAGAAAACTCACCGAGGGCGTTTGGAGTAAACACAGGAGTCAGACAGAGGTGCTTATTATCACCAATGATATTCCTAATTGTGGTGGAATGGATTATGCGTCAGACAGTGGGAAACGAGAAGACAGGGATATCCTGGACCGAAGTGAAGAACCTAGAAGACCTGGATTTCGCGCGTGGATGATTTATGTTTGATGTCACACAAAATCGAAGATTTACAAGCGAAAACCAACAAACTGGTCGAAGAAGCAGCAAAGACAGGACTCTAGGTAAATATAGACAAGACGGAGGTCGAATCTCAGACCACGGGCGTGGTTGGTTAGCGGGCATTCTGCATTTATGTTGTGTGTTTAAGGAAACTCAACTAATAAACACACACGTAGTTATCCCTAATTGTTACATGACAGTCATTATTGATGGACAGAAGTGATATTTGAATGTTGGGAGTTATCATGCTGTTTATCCCCGTTATCATCAATATTAGCTGGTGAGTGGAAAGCTCTCAGTTTAATGTATCATGGCTTCCATTAATCATCCCACCATTTATTTGTGCTTAATGTCTTACAAACTCTAGTACTTACTGGTGAAAACCAACAGACTGTCTGAAGAAACAGGCAGAGGAAACAGGATTCCAGGTGGACACAGCGAAGACGGAGGCGATGAAGATATGCACCAACAGCAACAAAAACCAGCTGCAATCACCGTCAATGGGAGGAATCTGAAAGAGGTTACTTCCTGCCTTCACATATCTAGCTAGGAAGCATCGTCTCAACCACAGGCAGTCGGAATGGATGAAGATGTCGAAGCCATACAGACAAGGTTGGCAATACAAGGTAGCACACCATCAATCTGAAATCAGTTTGGAAATATTTTGCACTAAATATAAACAACAAGATTCAGATTATTCCACACAAATGTTAAGTCAGTTTTGTATAGGTCAGAAAAACTTGGCACGAGCTTCATGAAAAACATTTCCAACAGACTACTGCAGACCTTTATCAACAGCTGCCTTCGCCACCTTCATATTGAAGATCAAATGGCCAGAAAGAATTAGCAACAAACATCTGTAGGAGAGAATCAACCAACAAGCAATTGCTCATTAAATATGCAGAAGCTGATGAAAATGCATTTGTGCACACGCATCTGAAGAGACCGTTGGATGACTTCGCGCTCAAGGCAGGTCCTCACTCGAGTGGAACCCGAATGGGAAACGACGAGTGGGTCGTCAGTGCAAGGGTGACATGGAGGAGGTCGTTTCGGGAGGAGGAGATTAGAGATTATAGGCAATCGTGGACTCAGCTAAGGACGACAACAGAAAATAGGCCGAAGTGAAGATGTGTTGCTGAAACCCAACGTTCCACTTGGAACCTCAGGAAACAATAATAATATAATAAGTGATTAAACATCAATGTGGATATAAAGTTATAGGTCTTGTAAGTGACTACTTGACATAGATTTCGGGTTCGTATGTTTGTGTTCAGTATTTTAGATTGGTTTTGAACTAATTCGAGTTGTGGTTAACTTCTATTACTTACCTCCATATCACAATATCATGAACGAATTAAAATCGGTAATCAAAAACTATCATGGACTGAACAAAAACATTTCTAATCAAGATTCGATGGTACTTTGATGTATGTGTATGTTATTTAGAAGTCAAAGCAAAGAAGTAGGCAAATACCATCAAGCTTACAGTTTCGCTAGTTTATATATTTGTTCGTTTTAAGTTTCAACATAAATTTGTTCGTAATAAAAGAGTCTTTTCCGATACCACCAGAATTTCTGCCAAATAGTCGCAAACAGCTGTCCAGTACTTCCAGATTTTCCAATGGTTCTCTAACCGATGTCAGCTCGTGATGAATTCCTGTAACCAATCAAATACCTAAAAACCATCACCTGAATATGGATCTGATGCTCACTAGCGACTGCCTGTATTCAGGTAAGTAGTTATCTGGGTTGGTTCTAATAGGAGGTCGTGACCAGTGGGCTAAAACAGGTCGGTTGTGAAGACAAGTACTCGCCAAAGATGACATAAGCGGGTGGTCGCGCTATATCATGAATTGGCAGAAGTTGGGATTCACTGGCTGGCCATTGGTAGGTTGCCAGTGGCTTAATTGTCTACGAGCTCGCACGCCTTGTAACGGAAAGGTCCTGAGATCAAACCCTGGCAGTAAGTGGCTGCGTACTGCTGAAGTGGAGTCTCAAGCACTAGGCCGACGAAGCAACTGTCTGGTAGTATTCCCGACTGGCTTTACAATGATTCTCTAACCGATGTCGGCTGATGATATAATCCTGTAACCAAACAAATCGTTGAAAACCAACACTTGAATTTCTATTTTGCGTCTGTTTGAATTCGTAAATGAATGGTGATAGTAATAATAATGTTGAAAAGTGTATATTAGTGAGGAGTAACTGATCATGATGTTTCATGTTGCATCGAATTTATTTTTCTTTTCACTTTATACAGATGTTAGATGAAAATGTCCGACTTATCCACAGTCTTATAGCACACCAGAGAATGGGTGCAACAAAAGAAGCAGCAGAATTAGAACGTGTTTTGCACCGTAATCTTATCTATCTGGCAACAATAGCTGATCGTACAACAGTCCAACCTGCGGGCACTCCTCACCCACCTCCTACTGGGTTACCTCAGCCCAATCATCAAATTCAAGGCTCCGCTCCCAATTACGCCACACAGCATGTGGTCAATGCAACACCGGAAATTTCTCAGCAATCTGTAGCACAACCGCATCAGATTACAGTTAACTCTTCAATGCACCATCCCGTACCTGTGGTAGTTGGATCTACTACAATATCTACTGTTGGAAATCCTATCATGTATCAACAGTACTTAGTTTCATCGCATATTTCAAATAGTCCACAAGTCAATAATTCACAAGTGCATATACCAGTGATATCTGGCCAACTTCAGCATCATGAACGGATGCTTCAACCGCTCAATGGAAAAGTTGTGCATAGTGAACATATTAGTAATGCTTAGACTGTTTTTATCAAATTAACACTGTTATGATTGTGTATATTCCTTTTAAAAAAATATCAGACAGTATTTTATTTTATAAAATAATGTCCGTATGGTTTAACCTTTATTATATATTGCGATCAGTTTCTGAGGATTCATTTGGGAAGGATGTCGTGAAGCACTTCTACTACTAATGATAATAATAATACTAATAATAATGATTAATCATATTTAAAATAATAATAATAATCAGTTGCTCAGCAACAGATAAGCTTAGCTACGCTGACAGTGCGGTAGCAGGGGTCCATCTTTAAAAGTGCGAATCAATGCTGGAATGAGTGGACTACTCCTACTCCTTAGAAATCCCTGTCACCAAAAACTAAAAGTATTGGTGAAATCGGGTTTTCTAAGATCTACAGATTGATTGTTTGATTGATAATCGGCCAGCATTTTTCCTAGGTGTTCAGCGATAATTTTGAAGCCACACAAAGGTAGGTAGTTCTGCCCCATACATACGCAATTTAGTAGTAGTAGTAGTTATTTGAAATCATTATTATGTTTACTACGCATCATTCAAATAGCACGGTGTGGGTATTGAAATCCACTCTGTACGAATAGATATAACAAAAAAATAATTAGCATTTGGGATACAGCGTAGTTAGTAACGTCTCACCGCCGGAATAAATAAAATATCTTACCTAATATCGGCTTTAAGGATTTCATTTCCCTCTATTTTCAAACAAGTATAGCATTTCAGCTTTGTTTTAACTTGTACCATTAGGGTGTACTAAATATTATGACAGGTGAATAACGTTCACACTCGACTCTATAGCGTTGTAAAAATTCTAATTATCCAATATATTGCTTCCACATTGCAGTGTGACTTATTGACTACCTCATAAACATACAGAAATTCGCTCAATAATGCATCGTCATTGAAGCAAGCAAAATACAAAGCATTCTTGGCGAAAATGTGCAAATTTCATCTCGAGGCTTCTCTTCCAAACTAGAGACAGCTGTGCGTCGGTGGCACAGTGGTTAGGACTCTCGCCGACCATGCACATGGTCCGGGGTTCGATCCCCTGCCGGCGCACACCCGATATCTATGGTCGGCCTGAATTTGAGCTACCGATATCCATGCTGAAAAAATCCATACTTGTACTGAAAATACGGTGTGGAATCAAGCTGTAAATCAAAAAAAAAATATGCATAGTATTAACGAAATAAGAACGTTGGCATTTGCCAACCAATCTACGCCATCTCTAGCCTAGTAGACGTGATATCTAGCTGTCAACCGAAAGGCGTGTGTACGGCTGAGTAGTTCGCTCTGCTCTCGTTTACTGCCGGCTGTAAGACACGGCCACTGAATGTGCCAGGCATGAAGAGGTCGGCCGACTAGCTGTCGTTCATAACAGGTGTCTGCCCTCTATCTACATCCCATGCTATGTCAGGTTACGTGGCACGTGTAATAGGGTGAGTAATATTCAGTTGATTTGGCAACGGTCGAGCAGCTAGGTAAGAAGGAGGGAGATTCATCAATCGACGAGGAGGTTGTGAAGCAGTTACATCGACTGAGTGACATGGTTAGGACATGTCTTACACATGCATGCATGTATGCACGCCTGCCCGTCTACCCATTGATTCATCCATCCATCACCTTCCCTCACCGACGGACAATCTCACCTCAGCTGACATAGGATGGATGAATGGATGGAGTGTTCAGATTGGCAAATGCTAGCCAGCACGTCATGGTGGTGGTAGTGCTGGTGGTCAAACCAAAACATGACTGGCTTCATCAGTTCAGAAAATCCATGATAACAGTTAGTTTAAGCCAGCACTCCAAGAACTTCTCACTGTGTTCAAAAAAATGCGGAGGGGTCAGGATATGATCAACACACTCTCATCCAGACATATCATCCTATCCGCCATAATAATAATATCACCATCATGAGGTTTCAAGATCTGACCGGTAAGTAATACGGGTTGATGCCAGCGGTCTTCAAATACTCATGCCAGTCAGTAGTACCTAACGTCATGGATAAGATGACAGTTTTGAAATCTAATGTAACAGCTGGGTGGATGGAGAGATTGATAACGGAAGCTTTATTTATCGTATTGACTGCAAACACGTGTAATAGGAATGATTCGACACCTGCACCAGATATCTAGAAAATTTGACTACCACCCTTACGACAAATGGGGAAGAATAAACAAAACTCAAGTTTCGAAGTCGTGTGATCGTAATTCATGGTCTGATTATGAAGAATAAATTTTGTTCGAAAGGTCATCCAGTAAATACTACTGTTTCACTGTGATATATCTAATGAACAAATTAATACGGAACTGCAAACTACCACAGTGACCAAGTTTTACACATACATTAATTAGACTACATATTATAAAACTCATCTTTCATCTCAACCATACTCTGCAGTAAGTGGGCGTGTAAGCGGAGATTATTCAAAGTGGTATCACTACTACTAAAGAATCTTCTGACACTCGTCAGCTGACCTTCATGCATATCTCAAACATTCAGCCTGCATTCAAAGCCTGAGTTGTCTAGGTTTTGACTACTAAAACTCACTGTTCAACTACACTTGAGATACCGACGTTGAAAGCTATATTACAAACTTTCGGTGTGATTGTAGGAGACTAGGAACGATGTTTCTTTGGCTTTAGTCATTGACTGGGATCAGAGAGTTAATATAAAAATAAATAAATTGTCTCAGGAACCATACTGGCAATGAGGGGGAATGTAAGAATAATAATAAGGTGTGTGTATGTATGTGGGAGTGTGTGGTAGACAGAAGAGTTGTGTGTTTCGGCTGATTGCCTCGCCCCGACTGACCACAATGTAGATTTTTACCTTTCGTTGTAAGCATCTGTAAGGGAAAAACGGTTCTCTTTGGGGTTAACTTTTTGAGGTTGATCACGTGTAGTCTGTTTGAAGGTGGAGTTTTGTCCGTGCAGAGGTCATTACTCTCTCCTACGTATGGCTGAAAGACCAATCAGGACGTATGCACTCATGCCTCCACCTTCTCTAGGTAATATTTCACATATTCTGAGTTACATGCATTCCTTGACGAACAGTGTTAGAATTAAGTGGGAGTAGAATTACGCTTAGTAACTATTCAGAACTTATGACTAAGCGTCCGACAACGCACCGAAATTATCTATTCTAGACCTCAGTGGAATGTATTATATTTTATTTTCGGCTTCGATAATTCGCTTCTAAAATTCTGGATGAATAGACAACCAACTTCACTAATTAGCCCCGTTCAGGCGAACGAGTAGGAAGTTGGTAGACAACTTTTTTGTTGTTGCAGAAGTTAGCAGCTATGAAAATCGGTGCGTTTCGGAACAAGTCTACTCACAACAATAGATTAGTTAATTATTTGTGAATGCAGAGACAGATATTTGCGCAATCTTTACGAATGTATTTCAGTTTACTTGGCGGTTCACTAATGGTAAGTTTCCCCCAGTAAAACAGCACACACACCAGTCTCATTAAGCCTCTGATTCTGTGATTAGCAGATTAGCTTGTTCAACCTATGTATATCTTTAAAATCTCTTGCTATATTTTCAAATAAATCATATCAGTATTCTAATTCCTTTATTGATTCACCAATGAAACGCGTGAAATGACTGAAACATTTAATTATTACATTCATTTTCCCAGAGCATTTTAAACAAAGCTGGAGGGAAGATAGTTCTAGGATGAAGGCAGCATATTTTATTTTCATACAGCCGGTTCCCTTTATTAGTTTGAATAAAGAAAGAACGAACATAATTGCAGGCTAATACGACGAGCTCGCTTTATTTCGTGGATTCTCCTCAACTCCATTTATCCTAAATGAATCAATTATATGTTACAAATGTGCGTCGGTGGCATAGCGGTTAGGACGCTCGCCGACCACGCACATGGTCCGGGGTTCGAACCCCGGCCGACGCACTCCTTCACCTCGCCAGGCCATAAATAATGCTGGTGAAGAGGGAAGGTTGGGCATGAGGCTAGCAACCCCATCCTGTAAAATAAACACTGCTACAGAAACTTCAAGCCTCTAGCTTGAAGCCCTATGTTCCACTGGGGAACGTGAAGGATAAAAAAATATGTTACAAAATGGTATCTGAACACACTTTTTACAATGATTTCTTGTCATAGATAGGAAGCATAGGCAATAAAATTTCACAGGTGATGTAAGCGGACAATTACTTAGTGTTAAAAGAGTAACCATTTGCATAGTAATTAGACCAAGGGGTGTAGTTCTGATTTCTCTTGGACACAAGGATGCACTAGAGGCGGAATACAAGATAGAACAACAGAGTTAATTTATACATATTTTGGTAGAGAATTCATGAGGGTAAGGGTGAGTAGTGAAGTAAAATTATAAAGTAGATAAAATAATTTAATTTAGCAGATTTGAAACCTCAGTATCTGTATTCGCTTGAATTTCAACGAGAAACCATCGTTTCCGTGTATAGTCGCATTCGCTGTTTTCGAATGCATCACAGATGGAACGACAACAGACATGCTTGTTCTGGGAGAAAATAAGTGACTTAATTTGATTCATTTCATATTACCATCAAACAGGATGTAGGCCAATTCTATCTGAGGATATCTGGGAATAAATGAACAGTAGGAGTCATATACAGTAATGATGCAGCTTGAACAAAACGCAATCAAGTGTGTGCATGAGGTGAGTTGATTGTTGATAGAATCAATGGACTGGGGATATAAGGACAGGTGTACCCTCTTCTTTTGAACAATATTCTCATGACGCGATGACCAGTTTAGTGGTAGTGGTGACAGTAATCATAGTCATAATAATACCAGTATTCCTATTACCATTATTATTATTATTATCACCATGATTATTATTATCAACGGTACAGTTTTGAGCATTCCTATTTTTTGTTAATTATTTTCATTATCACCACTATTATTAATAGTGGTGGTAATAGTCGTAGTGGTAATAGTGGGATTGTTGATGTTGTGGTAGCGTATCATATTCAAATAAGCATAATTCATTCGCGGTTGAAGATAATATTTGTTTATAATTCTCTCTGCGAATTCCACCAAACAGGCTGGAAATTCCAAAAGTCCAGGTGAGAAATCTTCAGTGGTCAGTGCTATGACTGACTCCTATCCAATACTCGTTCCTTGTTCTACATCACCTGACATTTATTCGTCATTCTAATCACTGTCAACTTTTCCTGAGGCTTGTCTTCGAATATTCTCTCAGTCAGTCAGTGGTTACGATAAGGTGAGTAATTCCCTCAAACAACTTCAAATAATGAAAAGGCATTTTCATCCTCTCTCTCTCTCTAGATTGACTGAAACATTTCGTAGTCACTTACAGCATGCGAATCAACATCATCAATTAATCTAGAATCCATTGTGGTCATTTCATCATCCATAAGATAAAATGAATGTGCCTTAGCAATATCAATGCAATTTAACCTCACTTATCTCGAGTGGAATCAGTTTGCATAAGCGTATACTATTTGTTTATCTAACTTGACCGAGAAAGAATCAATTCTCATTTCTGTATTCGTCTGAAGAATGAGAATGATGCATGCAAGCGTTCATGGGTGTGTTTGTGTACGTGCGTGTATGTAGACGATAAAGCCGCGCGTGGGAGAGAGAGATAGAGAGTGAGTGAGCGAGTGAGTGAAAGTAAACATGCATGTCAAAGATTGAAGAATAAAAAATACACATGCTAAATACCTTGTTTGTTTAGCCCTAGTGATGCATGCATATCGACGAATGTGATCTCTGTTTATACTCGATACGTGACAGATTGGGAAGTTGCAGCAGTGGAAATCGTCAGGCTATCACTAGCCTTATTTGTGGTAGTAAGAACAAGGATACCAAGTGTGTTATGTAACCAATATCTATGCTAACATATCTAACTTAGACTACACATTCCACATTGTCCTTTCTGATGGCTCGATCAGGAAACAGAATCCATAGGGTAGTGTCATAGATAGCAGGATAGAAATATCTCGCATGCTCAGCCTACCGGATTACGAACACAATTTCCACATGCACTCTAATCTGATGTTGAAAACTAAGAGAAACAAGGCTTTCAAATCATTCGGGTGGGAGGTGGTAGTTGAGGAAATGGCTATTTTCTGCTTTAATGATGACCTTTAAGATGAACGCATTGAGATGAGCAGATTTATTATATTTATGATGACGATTTTAGGTGAGAGCGAAATCAACCATATAGTCATTTTTAAACGCTGCGATCTAGTTATAATAGAGTTAAAATGTATATAAAAAATTAACAGGTACTGCTGGTTGACGTCATTGCCTTGCATTTACTCATATCAATCTGCAGTGTGCACGTTCCTGCTTTCTTGAATTAATATTCATGGTAGTAAGTGGGTTAAATAGTATGGGCTAGTAATGACCGTTCATATTCTAAAACTTTTCTTACAATTCCTTATATAAACTGATTTTCTCACAAGGACATATCAGACACTAGTGGCAACCTCTTGACACCAAGCGACACTGAGTACTTGTTTCATCCTAGTTTGGTACTCTTAGTCGACATGCATCTTATTTGCATAGGTGACGGGGATAGTTTTCAACCAAATATTCTACTTTGAATTCAAAATTAACTCTTGTTGTCACAAATATTTTGTCTCGATTTACATTATTATTATTATTGTTACTACTCAGAACCGCTGTTTTACTTTCCTCCCGGAGTAAGTTTTCTTAGCAATCATATATTTACAATTGTACACTTTAGTGTGAGCGAACTACTGGTGAAACAACCATACCAAAAAATTTCTTTGATGCCTCTTTTAATAACTGATTCACCTAAGCTGTAAACGACGATTAGTCAAATACAGATATGTCCTTTCAATTAGCTCATACAACTGTTTCAGACTAATTTTACATGCCTTTCCACTGAGTATGAAATAAATTATGGTAAGTATACGCTCCAAGAGAACGTCCCTCCTAATATTTAAGCGTAATTGGTACTATCATAAACAGTTTACTCACATGCATAAACGGCTGAATGAAAATGCGATACTTAATTAGAATGGCAAAACTCAGATTTAGAAAGCAAAAGGATTGAGGATTATTCAATCTGATTCAGTGTGTGGTGCTTGAGTGTTTTCTCATTCGGTCGAACTCTCCTGAGAAGTAAACACAAGTAAACAATAGAACTTGGGATACAGCTTTGTTTCAATGCACTCGATAATGAAATCCTAAGAAGTTCTCGCTTCACTGTACTTCACATACTCATCGAGCACCTTTAACGCGAACTGTTGCTCCGAAGGTTATAATACAGAGAGAATCCCCATTTAGAAAGCAAAAGGATTGAACACAATCTGATTAAATTTCATACTTAAACGAGACGTCACTGTATCCTCATGTTGGCCAACTATAGAAAACCTACACTGAAACTTATTCACTTTGTAAAAGCTATTAGAGTTCAGCTTCTTTTGTTTTCATTTCACGTTTCCTATATTATTTCACAATGATGTTATTTTCGCCTTTTCGCAACTCACTCCCACCCCTCCACTTTCAACATTCTCGCAGTAACTGTTACCAATATGACACTTACGAATTCTTGCCAGTGGCACATGTCGCGCTAACATTAACTTTTCTATTTATATCACTTCGAAAACATAATACATAATCACGCAAATAGTAGAATTCGACGTTCCAGTCACAAAAATACGTACCCCAATACATGTCATGTTTTCTCAATCATTTACAGATACATGTACCAGAAGGTTGTCAGTTTAACTTTAATACCTGAAAATAAATACAGACGAAAAAAAATGTTAGTGTTCATCAGCATAAATGGTCAGTAGTCGGTCACTAAGTTCTCAGAATAATTATTCACAGTAATAAATAAACACACGTAAATACATAAACAGCCATGGCCATGTGAAAACTGTGGTTTCTTGATAATCGAATCCTAACCAGTTGACTGGTTAGACTGTGGGGTTTTCCTTATTCAATGTGCTACTTTCATAAGGATAGTTTTCAAGACTTTATTTGTGAAAGAGAACAGACTTCTTTCTTTCAACCAACTGCAACCTAATAGGGGTCTTTTCGAAACAACATTCAAGCAAATCGGATAACACTTTTTTTTATTCCTTTACCTTCTCAGTGGAACAGGCTTTGAAGTTAGAGGCAAGGAGGCAAAGGATCGCGTCGGCCGAGGATCGAACCCCAAACCGCATGCGAGGTTGGCAAGCATTCCACCGCTGTGCCACCGACGCTTCGATACCATACGCGGATACATTTACCTGGAAGGTGATTAAAGCACTCAGAGGACAATTTACAATAAATAATAAAAAATCGGTAGTTCAAATAACTAACTGTCAAGTATATCTCGATCCAGGAAACCTACTCTTAAGTAACCAAAGGGCTATTGAGTCTGAAAAGCAAGTGATAGGTACCTGTGTCTATCATTGCTTTCAAAAAGAAGGGGGGAAAATACTCCAACTAGTCTGAATCTTACTAGGACGTTCATTTTTTCTGCTTAAACAGAAAAATTTATTAGCGACATTTCGAGACACACCTTGACAATGTTCACCCATAATTAATATCAAAGCCAAAACTTAGACCGTAAGATAATCTAATGATTTTTCTAGCTCTTAAAACAATAGGCACACACACACATAGGAAACCTACAACAACAGATCAGTACACTCATTTTTCCTGTTTTGCACCTTTGAAATGCAAACGTAACTTGGCAAAGTGTCTGGTTAATACAGCTAGGATAATCTGTTCAAACGACTCACTCAATGAGGAGCTTAAGACTACTAGAGAATTAATTACTTAGTAAAAGTGGTCATCTAGATAAGTTCATTGAGAATAATGTGAATTTAGCAACAAAACAAGTCACTGGGGCAGAAGCTCCAAAAAACCATTATTCATAAAACTGCAATTCCTCAGTGATAGCATCAACAAGATATAAACACCATGCTGGAAGAATGCAGTTAAAGAGCTTTCAATGCAGGTGAGGTACGTTGTCTCTTCACTACTACAACCACCACCCCACCCCCCATAAATGAAAAGCAAATATCTCCTCACTAAATGATTTTGCTACATCTATACAATCAAAACAAGAATATTGACAAAGTTAGATTAATTCACTTACAAAGCATGAGCCACATTCAATTATTCATCGGCTGTTGAGATAATTTCTTACGTGACCGTAAACGTGCAGCGATTGGTTTGTCTTCACTAGAATACAAATATGTATTACAGAGAATGAACATTAGTTGGAAGTATGAAAACTAACTCTGTCAAACAGACAAAAATCAATGGCGTGAAAATAAGATAACCAGCAAAGGATTAACGCCAGCCTTCAGCTCACCACAATAAATTCTAGAACTTCGTCAGAAAAAATAACAGCGTTCATAGATCATTAAATGAAAACTCAATGGGCGGATTTTCAAGTTTGACTGGTTTCTGATACATCGTCACCAACCGACAAATCACACATGACAATAATCCCAGAGTGCTCGGTTAGTCCCAGAATAGAAAAATTCTCCATATTTAACCCTAGTATATGGAGGCTTCTTGTTACCCGACACACTAATCTACTTCTTAGTATATGGAACTCCAAGCACTGATTTGCACCACCACCACACTTAATGGCTTCAAAAGTTTTCTCAAACCTAATCCAATGTCGGCCAACTTTCTCGTCGAGGAGGGTGATGGCTTCGCATGAGCAACACGTCTCCTAGCCATCTCTATCCCAATCGATGTAGCTTCACAGCATCACCCGTTGACCTTCCCTCCCTCCGTAATACTCTACACCTAACCTCAATATTACTCAACATATTATACCACTTAACACAGAGAATAGGACGCGAACATCTCTGGTTAAAGAAAGCTAGCCTTTTCATATCTCCCACTTTCGATAGCAATGTCTCACAGCCAGCCATAAGGGAATACAGAGCCAACTGCTGCGCAGTACACACGTTCCATAGCCGGATATAAATACTAAGCCGGAGATGTAGTAAATTGGCAAATGCCATATGAGCCATTTGTATCTACGCTAAGTTCCCATCACCAATAGGTCCACTGGGGCTGATGCAACTTCCAACTTCACTTCTTACCTTTAAACTAGAACTCGGTGAACATCAGTCCTGCGGCATTATCTTATGCTTAACAGGAGTGAATCGCATGACGAACATTGGCAGATTTTTTTGTTTCCACATCGAACTTTTTTGGTACAAGTATGGGATTTTTAGCATATAGTATCGGTAGCCCAAGTTCTGCAGGCTGACCACTGATATCGGATGTGCGACGGCAGGGGATCGAACCCCGGACCATTTGCACGGTCGGCGAGAGTCCTAACCGCTGTGCCACCAACGCACAGCTCTTAAACCGCTGCATTAGTCCCAGTAGGGCACTTTGATTAGTGTCATATACTTTCTCGACACTTTCCTTATGGCAATGGTGCAGTTGCATCCACTCATTGTGATTTATCATATCCAATCAAATTCTATTGTTCTTCCATATTACTTTTCTTTTGCCTCATATTTCTGTTGATTTTCTTTTTTGAATCTCTCTTCTCTTGCTTTCTGTGCTACATGGAGTGTGCCAACTCGAATTGCTGCACCTCTATGCAAAGTCAAACGCTGAAACCAGTCAGTCAGTCAGTCACTTTCTTCATGACCAAACATCGTCGCAGCACTTCTCACTCGACGGCGTCACATTCCGATGTCGGGATAACAATATAGAGAAGATTCGACGTCAGTAAGTACCCCTGTGTTCCAAAATCCATCAGAGGCTGATTATATGATCGACACGATTTCGTCTGTCTTTTTTGGGCATGATTATTGAACCTAGAACTTTAGATACAATATTAGCCAAACTGATTCCCACACGATTATCACAGGAAGACTTTTCCCAATTCCTATACACTGGGAAAATCATTGATTTACACCAGTTCAACGGAACTATCTCTGCATCTGAGATTTCACCGAACATCTCAGTGAACCCAGACAGCAGTTACTAATCACCACAGCTCTTACACACCAAATACTTGTTTGCTGTTGCAGAACACCAGATGCAGTTTGAATCTCGACAGTTTTGATGCCCACGACTGCTCAAAGTCCTGGCGTATACATCCCAGCAGCTCGAGGTAAATAACCTTTCACTCACCATCATGTCCAGAGAAGACCGCCAACAAGCCTAATGCCTAGATCATCTCAGAAGAATCAGCAACACTTATCACCGTTTCAACAGTAGGCAGAATAATAAACGATGCGTCCAACGTTGATTCCCATCCGAATTCCACATACACATCTACTTCATTCCCCATCCTGTGGGAACACACAGCTCTCGTCATATTCCCCACATCGAGGCTTCGTTCGATTTCCTTGCAACGGCAGTCACACCAAAAACAACCAGCTGATCTTACAGTCAAGACATACGCCACAGCAACTAAAACTAACACAACTAAATTATCCACGCGTACATCAAATACAGGCAATGGTAAAGATTATTGATCCATACCATCCATAAGCGACTCAATGACTTTGAGGCGCCCAATCAGGGTTTACGTGAGTTATGATGAGGTCATAATGGAGAAATTGAGCTTCTTACTAATAACCAATGCTGTTCAAGATCTATGGAGCATATGCAATCCGGGAAAATGCCTAGAACCAAATCCTAACCCTAGCAGCTATAAATCTCATCTCGTAACCCTAGCTGCTGCACGTAAGTTGTAGTCATTTCTATGGATACGCACATTCCTATTTGGGAATGGCAGTTATTCTCGAGGCATCTCAAATCACGGAACCTGTTCAACATTCTTACACTTCTTCAAACTTTCTTTCATGAACGTAATTTCTTCACACTGTATATTTATGAATTATTGAGTCTACTACTACTTTCTTCAACGCCCTTTAATCAAGGGTAGAGAGAAATACTGCATGTGCTACAGTATCCTAATTCTATCGGCTATTCCCATCTGTAACAATGACTAATTTAACTTTCATTTCTACTGTGTGTCTAGGTTTGCTTCAGAAGCATTGGATTCTCCGCGTTATTTCCGAACATCTAGATTCCGGTTATCATGAGAGAAGTGTGAGACGTGGTTTTCTTCAGCCCAGACTGTTAATAATGATGACAGAGTTAAGAGAAGGTGGAACACCAAACTGCTCAGTGCTATCGATAGTAACAGGAAAACAAGATGAAGATGGACGATGATGATGTTGATGATTCATATCCTTATGAAAGTGTGTGAGTGGTTACAACCTGCCTGCCGGTTGCACACACCAAACTGATTCTCAACCGAAAACTTTCCGAAAACCATACAGCAGTTCCAATTCGCTACCCTCCATATATATATACATATATACATATGGAGTATCTGCGCCATTGTCTTCCTACTCTTATTGCCTATTTACTCTTTGAATTTACCAGTATTCACTATTTTGAGGAGAGTTATATGACATATTTATATATATAGATATATATACACATATATATATAGGCTCGTAAGTGTTTCACCCATATTTGTATTCTAGCAAGATAGTAAAAGCTTTCCAGTAGATATCGATGCGTTCGGTGACAAATGCCTAGTCGACTTTAACTGGAACTTTACATTCTCCTAGAATGAATATCAGATTAGGTCAGTATAAGAAGACAACAGTTAGTTATTGCAATCACTATTTATAATTAACTAAAGGAAAGTCTTTCATCTGTTATGTGGAGGGGTAACTACACTACCTCTGTGCAAACAATGGGTAGCTGACTCCTACTCACTTACTTCTCACTTCTGAAAGACACTTAATTAAAGCACAAGGAAGTCGAAACTATAAAATAAACTATCGTAACGCATAACACATAAATCAGCATATCACTCAAAATCAACAATTCAAAAAACTTACGTATTTGAAGTGGTCCTCTCCTAAAACACAACAATTATAATAACAATACAGAATTGATACTGCAGAATAAATGTAACACTAGTTCTCACACATATTTTCATTCAAACCAAAAACTTAACACCTTCAGAACACAGATAGGTAACAAGACAGTCACAGTGTTCCAAATAACTTGAACAAAAATCTCAGCATGTTCGGTAAGCCCAATAAATCGTAGAAACAAAAGTCTATCGAAAACACTACACTGAGGATAACTTTTAACATTACCATCTCTAACAGCAGACATATTCTATACATATATGCATAGATATACATATATATATATATATATGTATATATATATATATGTATATATAGCAACGTTTGAACAACTTATCATTCGTGTGCTTTATTTCACAATCATTCGATGTTATTCTGCAACGACGCTTTTCCTCTGTTCAAATTTATACATCGGAATTCGAGTATGAATACAATTTTACTTAAAAACAACAGATGCACATCCATTATCATAAGGAAAATCAAAATCAAGCAACAACAACATACCTTGCGACCAGATGAATCGCCTGGACCCGGAGTCGATGCCATATCCGGTTCCAGACATATAAAGGAGCTGTACTCCACCTCGCGACGCCTTTTTGATGCTTTCGGTCTGCGAATCACGGTAGGAGGAGGAGAAGGTGTGCGACTCGTCAGGTCGCTTCCTAACTTCCTAACTTCCGGAACACACGTAGGTTTATCTCGCTCCCTTATACTAGTAGAGACACACAGAGAGAGACAGACAGAAAAAGAAAGAAAGAGATTCGAAACAGTTTTACTTATAAACAACTTTATAAAGCACGACATACTTATTAGGACAAAAAAACATTTATCATTGTTATCATTTCCCTGGGGGTTCCAAGTGGAAAGCACAGCTTGAAACGAGACACTCGGTATGCAAAAGTCAGCCATTCCAAAGACAAAAGGATAGTCAGGAGCATGCTTCTATATCTTAATGAGCACTTTTATCGGAAAAAAATTATCCTTAATGAAAATTACTTGAAACCCTTCCGTCTTCATAAGGAGTAATAATTACTTGTTTCCACAACCGCAGATGACTATAGTTTGACTACCAGTTTGCCTCAGAACAGTAAAATGTAGCTAAATACAATTCTTCTTGTCAGTGAATAACGTATTTCACATACACATCTACTTCATCCCCCATCCTGTGGGAACACACAGCTCTCGTCATATTCCCCACATCGAGGCTTCGTTCGATTTCCTTGCAACGGCAGTCACACCAAAAACAACCAGCTGATCTTACAGTCAAGATATACGCCACAGCAACTAAAACTAACACAACTAAATTATCCACGCGTACATCAAATACAGGCAATGGTAAAGATTATTGATCCATACCATCCATAAGCGACTCAATGACTTTGAGGCGCCCAATCAGGGTTTACGTGAGTTATGATGAGGTCATAATGGAGAAATTGAGCTTCTTACTAATAACCAATGCTGTTCAAGATCTATGGAGCATATGCAATCCGGGAAAATGCCTAGAACCAAATCCTAACCCTAGCAGCTATAAATCTCATCTCGTAACCCTAGCTGCTGCACGTAAGTTGTAGTCATTTCTATGGATACGCACATTCCTATTTGGGAATGGCAGTTATTCTCGAGGCATCTCAAATCACGGAACCTGTTCAACATTCTTACACTTCTTCAAACTTTCTTTCATGAACGTAATTTCTTCACACTGTATATTTATGAATTATTGAGTCTACTACTACTTTCTTCAACGCCCTTTAATCAAGGGTAGAGAGAAATACTGCATGTGCTACAGTATCCTAATTCTATCGGCTATTCCCATCTGTAACAATGACTAATTTAACTTTCATTTCTACTGTGTGTCTAGGTTTGCTTCAGAAGCATTGGATTCTCCGCGTTATTTCCGAACATCTAGATTCCGGTTATCATGAGAGAAGTGTGAGACGTGGTTTTCTTCAGCCCAGACTGTTAATAATGATGACAGAGTTAAGAGAAGGTGGAACACCAAACTGCTCAGTGCTATCGATAGTAACAGGAAAACAAGATGAAGATGGACGATGATGATGTTGATGATTCATATCCTTATGAAAGTGTGTGAGTGGTTACAACCTGCCTGCCGGTTGCACACACCAAACTGATTCTCAACCGAAAACTTTCCGAAAACCATACAGCAGTTCCAATTCGCTACCCTCCATATATATATACATATATACATATGGAGTATCTGCGCCATTGTCTTCCTACTCTTATTGCCTATTTACTCTTTGAATTTACCAGTATTCACTATTTTGAGGAGAGTTATATGACATATTTATATATATAGATATATATACATATATATATATATATATACATAGGCTCGTAAGTGTTTCACCCATATTTGTATTCTAGCAAGATAGTAAAAGCTTTCCAGTAGATATCGATGCGTTCGGTGACAAATGCCTAGTCGACTTTAACTGGAACTTTACATTCTCCTAGAATGAATATCAGATTAGGTCAGTATAAGAAGACAACAGTTAGTTATTGCAATCACTATTTATAATTAACTAAAGGAAAGTCTTTCATCTGTTATGTGGAGGGGTAACTACACTACCTCTGTGCAAACAATGGGTAGCTGACTCCTACTCACTTACTTCTCACTTCTGAAAGACACTTAATTAAAGCACAAGGAAGTCGAAACTATAAAATAAACTATCGTAACGCATAACACATAAATCAGCATATCACTCAAAATCAACAATTCAAAAAACTTACGTATTTGAAGTGGTCCTCTCCTAAAACACAACAATTATAATAACAATACAGAATTGATACTGCAGAATAAATGTAACACTAGTTCTCACACATATTTTCATTCAAACCAAAAACTTAACACCTTCAGAACACAGATAGGTAACAAGACAGTCACAGTGTTCCAAATAACTTGAACAAAAATCTCAGCATGTTCGGTAAGCCCAATAAATCGTAGAAACAAAAGTCTATCGAAAACACTACACTGAGGATAACTTTTAACATTACCATCTCTAACAGCAGACATATTCTATACATATATGCATAGATATACATATATATATATATATGTATATATATATACATGTATATATAGCAACGTTTGAACAACTTATCATTCGTGTGCTTTATTTCACAATCATTCGATGTTATTCTGCAACGACGCTTTTCCTCTGTTCAAATTTATACATCGGAATTCGAGTATGAATACAATTTTACTTAAAAACAACAGATGCACATCCATTATCATAAGGAAAATCAAAATCAAGCAACAACAACATACCTTGCGACCAGATGAATCGCCTGGACCCGGAGTCGATGCCATATCCGGTTCCAGACATATAAAGGAGCTGTACTCCACCTCGCGACGCCTTTTTGATGCTTTCGGTCTGCGAATCACGGTAGGAGGAGGAGAAGGTGTGCGACTCGTCAGGTCGCTTCCTAACTTCCTAACTTCCGGAACACACGTAGGTTTATCTCGCTCCCTTATACTAGTAGAGACACACAGAGAGAGACAGACAGAAAAAGAAAGAAAGAGATTCGAAACAGTTTTACTTATAAACAACTTTATAAAGCACGACATACTTATTAGGACAAAAAAACATTTATCATTGTTATCATTTCCCTGGGGGTTCCAAGTGGAAAGCACAGCTTGAAACGAGACACTCGGTATGCAAAAGTCAGCCATTCCAAAGACAAAAGGATAGTCAGGAGCATGCTTCTATATCTTAATGAGCACTTTTATCGGAAAAAAATTATCCTTAATGAAAATTACTTGAAACCCTTCCGTCTTCATAAGGAGTAATAATTACTTGTTTCCACAACCGCAGATGACTATAGTTTGACTACCAGTTTGCCTCAGAACAGTAAAATGTAGCTAAATACAATTCTTCTTCTCAGTGAATAGGGAATCATCGCTCACTTGAAATTTAGAACTTCTGTGTGTATTTCGTGTGTGTACTCAACTCAAATAATCTGTGACATATCTACCTATAATCACCTTAGGCGAATACAAGGGTTTGTTGCATAAATCGTGCAGTTCCGAGATACAAATCAGAGTCCAACTGACAGTAGTATCCTAATCTCTGTGACTTCAGCTGATACAGAACAGAGTCAATCCCACTGTCTGAGATGCACTTCAACCTTGTAATGGTTATTCTAGCTTTAATCCCACATGGTCTTACTTAACTTGCTTTATTTTTATTTTTTCTCTATGGTGCCGCTTTTCATCGTCATTTGCATCTCGGACTCCTTTTGTCACCACCTACATGGCGCAAAGTGGAAAAGTATTCAAAGTTGAATCAGTGTGTGAGAATATTGCCACCAGAGACATTCATCTCATTACATTAGGATCACAGAAAATACACCAGCGCACATGCTACAAAACAGGACTTACCAAGCAGTGCCAGAATTTCTAAGAGTCAAGGTATGTTTTTCAGGAGTCCAGTCAGCAAAACTGCGACTATCTAACTCGTATGTGAAACACTTAAGACCGGCTTCTGTACCCGTAACCAAAGACCTGTTCACAAACGACTGTCCAGGTGGAGTTCGTGGGATTTTGTCTCTGCTTTTAAAGGGATCCATCGGTCACAAGCAGTCTATAAGGAGATAATCAAAAGCACTCAATCACAACAGCAAGACTACCAAAAACATAAGTGTGTTAGTGAAACTGTTTAGTCAGGCATAATCACACTCAACTTATGGAGGGAAAACACGGATAAGTTAATACGTCTAAAAGATTTTCGTACAGATTTCTATGTACCCTGAACATAATATGGGATTCTTTGGGAAACAATTGAAGATACAATTGGCTGCAAGACTAGAACGCAACAACGCAACGCTCTTGTAAATGTATTCACTGAGATGATCATAAATCTCATTCTGGTTCTCCAATCAATATTCAGTATTCTGTTCTTCGATCCGTCCACTAAACAGGTACCTGTTTCATATATCTTTACCTAAACGAAAATTTTCTATCCAGTTATACATACTAGTATGTAGGATTTTAATGATAGCTATAAAGCTATCATTAAAATCCTAACAAATGTACTCCAGCAGAAATAGTTGGACAACTTACCACAACCACGTGAGCAGTTCACCACAGATAGTTTACTGGCGGATTCTGGGGCTATCCTTGCGGTTTCGGTTTAAAAAAACAAACAAATGATTCGACATCACATTCACTTCATTCCCACCATATTTTAAGTATTCCAATATTGGTGTACTTATAGTAGCTTAAATTTATTGAAATATGCATATTTCCAAGAAATCATGATTCATCACATCTTTGAACACGACGGACACCCTCTTCGTCAAACGTTCCTTATTGTAAGCCCGGTCGTCAAGCAAGCGTCTGAAACAGAGAGCGAAGCCCACGTTGACAGGGTGATCACACAGGTACCGTGTGCTAGTGAGAACGAAGACTCAAGGCCAAGGTTTGTATATTTGCAACCAATCATAATACAGTTGTGTGAGAGAGGAAGGCTCTTCCCATTGGTCACGCATTGCATCGTCTTGGGCGACCAATCCCTGCACGCTACGTAGCCAACCTGAAACTAGACAAGCATAGTTTAACCATTGGAAAACCTCCAAACTTACCATGCCTTACACTACCCGGTCTCCCATAGATGCACTGCCCGCAGTGCTAGGTGACTGTGTCCGCAGGACTTGCCTGAACTAAGGCGTTTTGCCGGAAAGGTTTCAATCTGTTGAAATATATGACTAGATTATGAGCGGAATGGGTTTCCTCGATCATACAGGTGCAGCCACTAAGCATCTCCCCTACAGCAAAATGTCCTTCCCAGCGTTTATGGAATTTGGGAGTCTTCTTTTTAAGTGACGCCTCGTTTAGTAGCATTACCTCGTCTCCTGGTTCCACAGGTGATCCATGTGCTTTCCTACCATAGTATTCTTTCTGGTACCTCTGGTTTGTTCGAAGTCTATCCCTAGTCATTTGGTGTACCTTGTTCGGGTTTCGTCTCAGTCTGATTACGTGTTCTGATGCAGTCAGTGTGTTACCTCCTAGTGCGTTTGAGGTCGGATCAATTGGCAGCCAGAGTTCTCTTTCGGTTAGTGCTTGACGCGTAGCTTTGTGAATGCTTGCTTTGTACGCCATTAAGCACTGTGAAAGTGATGGGTCCCACTCAATAGAGTTGTTTCGGTCTACAAATTGTAGCGGTAAATAATTCCCAAAAATTATTGACCACAGCAATCATCACTCAACATTGGATGCTGACCATCACTGTTTGAGTCGACTTGTTTAGCTGAAGGCTTATGGTCAAGCATCCCCGCCATTTGGTGCTCTGTCGTGTCACGTGCGTGCACGATTCCTGGCTAGCTAAGCATTCACCTCTACCCGCGATTTTGTCCCGAGATATACTACGTACTTTGGACGACAAAATCTAGTCTTTTGCTTTATCTTTGGTGCTCGAAGAACGAACACTATAGAAGTTGTTGGTATAAGATCTTGCGTCAGTATAATCCGTACAACTCGCGAACGTCGATACCTGCAACCTCTAAACTGGTGAGCGCGACCACGAACTACATCTTCAATTCACACGCAGATAATCCCGGTGAGTTCGTTCCTTTTTGTGTTTATTCTTGTACTCTTTTGTAATCGGCATATATTTCGTCATGAATGACCCTAGCTCCAAGGTTATTCGGATTCGCTCAACCACCATAACAATCCAGCTAGTACCATATTGGCCAGATAATGCTGAAACGTGGTTTCAGATTGCTGAGTCCGATTTTTGTGAACATGGCATAACCGAACAACGTTCACAGTTCCTTGCAGTTATTCACGCCCTACCGCGGGAATTCAGCAAGTGCGTAACTCTGCAGATGTCGTGTCCAGAGGTAAGTAACCCCTACGAGTTGCTCAAAGCATCCCTCCTCAAGAGAAACCTTCTCACGGATTGACAACGTCTGGATGAGTTATTTCGTAACATCGAGTTAGGGGATCAGTCAGCCGTGAGCATGCTGGCAAGAATGAAAGAGATCATTGGCCAAAGTCAGTTCGATGAAGGACTCTTCAGAGAACTATTTTTATCCAAACTGCCACAGTCAGTTCACACTGTACTTGTGACACTTCAGGGTGTTCTCATGGATGACTTAGCTGTCTCTGCAGATAGAATTCTAGAGATAACGAAACGGCCAGTTACCGAAGTATACTCTGTTACCGAACAGACTTCGAGGAAGGATTCTGCAATGATAGAGTTAATCAACTCCGTCCATCAGATGCTTAGGTCAAACAAGCCTAGCAATTCCTCCTATCGTCGTTCTAAATCCCACCAACGGCTAAACGCACGTGGACGATCTAAGTCCAACACACGTTCTCTCAAAAATCCTGACTGGTGTTGGTATCACAACACCTATGGCAAGGAAGCGAAATGTTGTCGAAAACCTTGTGATTTCGGCAAAGCCTACAAGTCTGTGGGAAACTATCCCGCCGGCACGCGTTAGCGGCAACCGTCGCCGGTGGCACTAGCCGCTTACTTTACATCCATGATGTAATGAGCCAGACTAGATATCTAGTCGACACAGGCGCCGAAGTCAGCGTCCTTCCTGCCACAGCAGCAGATCGACAGAAGGATCCTAACTTCAACCTACAGGCTGCAAATGGAAAACCAATTGCAACCTATGGTCGGAAATACGTCTATCTGAACGTAGGTTTACGCAAACCTATTCAGTGGATTTTCCTAATCGCTGACGTCACAATGCCCATCATTGGCACGGACCTACTTAATCATCATGATTTGCTCGTAGACGTCCGCCGTAAACGACTAATTGACAACACTACTAGTTTGTCTATCAAAGGCATAACTTACGTAGGCCCCAGCTTGTCAATCGTTAAGATGAAAACAATCCTCGATCCAACTTTTCAACCGATTGTTGACAAATATCCGGAACTCAATTGCCCATCTAACGATCTCCCGTGTATAACCAGCAATGTTATGCACCACATCATAACCTCAGGATAGCCCGTGACATCTAAAGCACGACGACTGGCCCCTGACAAACTGAGAATTGCTAGAAATGAGTTCGATCATATGGTCACCCTTGGCATCATTCGGCCATCGAATAGTCCATGGGCATCCCCATTGCCTATGGTACCGAAAAAGGATAGTAACGATTGGCGACCCACTGGTGATTACCGGCGAGTGAACGCCAAAGCAACTCCTGATTGCTACCCTTTGCCTCACGTCCACGACTTGACGGCAACGTTAACTGGAGCATCTATATTCTCAAAAATCGACTTAGTTAAAACGTATAACCAAATCCCGATGGCAACGGAAGATATTCCGAAAACGGCTATCATCACACCTTTCGGACTTTACGAATTCATACGTATGCCACTCGGCCTCCGGAATGCGGCCCAAACATTCCAACGCTTCATCGATGAAGTATTTCGCGGTCTCGACTTTGTATACGCATACTTAGACGACTGCCTCATTGCCAGTCCAGATAAGGAAACTCACCTTAGACACTTGGACTTGGCATTTGAAAGGTTACGCCAACATGCTGTTACCATCAATATCCAGAAGTGTCAAATAGACGTTGACTCACTCGATTTTCTGGGTCACACTATTGACTGTCAGGGCATTCGCCCACTGGCTACTAAAGTCGAAGCGATACTGAACTTTCCGGAGCCAAATACAGTGAAAAGTCTTCGCACTTGTAACGGCTTGGTAAGTTATTACCGACGATTTATTCCTAATTGTGCTTCTCTGATTCAGCCATTAACAGATCTCCTTCGAGGGAATAACAAGTCTATCGAACTCGACACGTCTTCTCGACATGCTTTTACTCAGGTAAAGAAAGCTATTGCGGATGCCACCCTTCTTATGTATCAGGATCCAACGGCACCGTCAAGTATCTCAGTTGATGCATCAGACACTGCAATCGGTGCAGTTCTGCAACAACTAATTAACAAAGAGTGGCAACCACTCGCCTTTTTCTAGAGGCGCCTTCAATTAGCTGAAACGAAGTGCAGCACATTCGGAAGAGAACTTCCAGCTATGTACTGTGCTATACGTCATTTTCGACGTTCAGTTGAGGGTCGTGAATTCACCATTTTCACTGACCACAAACCTCTGACGTACTCTCTGAACTCAATTTCAGATAAGTATTCACCCAGGGAATCACGGCAACTAGATTACGTTTCACAGTTTACATCAGATATTCGCCATGTATTCGGAGTGAACAACACTGTGGCAGATGCCTTGTCACGTATTTGTTCCTTCACCCAAATCGACGGCATAGACCTTGTAAAACTGGCTCGTCTTCAAAAAGAAGATACCGAGCTTCAGCATGAGTTGTCGAGAACAACTCTACAATTAGACGAGAAACCCTTAGGTATAGTAAAAGATACTATTCTCTGCGACATTTCCACTAGTACTCCTCGCCTTATCTTGCCTAAAAGTTATAGCCGTAACGTACATGTGTGGAATCGATTCGATATTGGATTCCACACATGTATATAAATGAAGGAAAGAAGTTGTGTGAGTAACTTGATATGATTATGAGCAATAGTTTGTGCTCGAAACGTCATCAGTTAATATAACTGTACAACACTGTGTGATATATCAAAATAAAATCTTAACCATTATGGAGTTATACTCCACCACAGTGCCCAAGTTTTATACTTATATCAATAATACATATAGCCTGAAGCAGTACCCATCAAGGATATATCTGCTGAAACTGTCGCACGCGTCTCTGTAGACAGATGGATCGCAAACTTTGGATGCCTGTCTTCCATAACAACTGATCGTGGGCGGTAATTCGAAAGCGGTTTATTCTTCGCTTTGACTAAAATCCTTGGTTGCATGCGTTTTCGAACAACTGCCTACCATCCTCAAGCTAATGGTATGGTAGAACGTCTACACAGGCAGTTGAAAGCTGGTTTATCAGCTGCAAATAACACCCATTGGACTGAATCCCTTCCGTTAGTTCTCCTAGGGATTCGAAGCGCCTTAAAAACCGATGTTGGTTGTACTACCGCTGAGCTAGTGTATGGCACGACACTACGACTGCCAGGTGAGTTTGTTTCTCCCTCGAGCTTCACGCCAGCTGTAGATCACACCTCATACGTCAGTAGGCTTACAAACGCAATGCGTTCAGTTAAACCTGCTCCCCTCCGACCACAGTCCATTGATGTTTTCGTCCACCCCTGTTTAAAAACTTCTTCACACGTATTTGTTCGTCGCGACTCTGTGCGTTGCCCTCTAGAACCCCCATATGACGGACCATATAAAGTAATTAAACGTACGGATAAATTCTTCGTCTTAGACAAGAAAGGCCACGAAGACACCGTCAGTATCGACCGTTTGAAGCCGGCTTACTTGGAAGGTAATCCTATTAGCCTAGAGCTAAACGTACCCCATAATCCACAGGTAATTGAATCTCCTT